ATCACCATGACCCTCTGGCATGTGAGCAGCGCCCGAATGGGCCGCCGCATCTTTGGTGCTCAAACAGAGGCACTGTAGAGGGCCATGGACCGCACGACCCCCGCGTACATCTTCCGGCAGGAGGCATTTGGCCCCCCGAGATTCGGTATGAGGCGCTTAAGCGCTGCGCCCGTCCGTTCCAATTTAGGAGCCAATCGTCGAAAGTGCTCCACGAAGGTCCACCGACTGTTGAGGACGAGTCCCAGGTACTTCATATTCGTCTCGACGCCGATGGTAACCCCTCCCGCCGTTATTTGGGACTCACCCGGAGGTGGCGCGTTCTCGCAGCCATGAAAACACATGGCTTCGGACAGTAACAGTTACCGGATCCTTGCAACGACTGTCGTTACCGCTCTCGCCATTAAATTGCCCGCCGCCTGATGCGACCTCCCGTGCGCTAGCACTAGTGTGTCTTTAGCGTAGTAGACCACGCTGACGTCGTTCGGGAGGTCTGTGCGCAGCACCTAGTCCTAGCCGATGTTCCACAGGAGCGGCCCCAAAACCGAACCCTGTGGAACACCACGCGACATCTCTAGATATACAAGTACCTACACTCACGAGTTCCCGCATTGAATTAAAACTATTTCTTTGATCTAGAAACACTTTTTATATAATTACTGGTACGACGATACGACTTTAAACTCTCGTTGTCTACGTGTAAATTTATATTAGAAAAGAATACCTTTATAATTTAATACTTCATCTTTAAGTACATCCAATTTAACTATCTCTGTTTAAAAAGCCCTTTCATTAATTAATTCCGTTCGTTGGATATTATTTTACAACATTATCAAGCGCAAACTATAAAAAAACGCGAGTAAAATTAATGAGAGCGAAAATGTTCGAACTCGTTGGGTCACGATAAAATCTGGATTAATGACTCTTACAGACGCTGATGATAGGAAGGTATCTATGATTGACCTATTTGCCAGGTCATAATCCGTAACCCCGTTCTTGTGAGGTAAGTATCTTAGCCTCTTGATCACCCTTACGCTAAGTTATCCCGTACTGAGGTAGACTTAAAATAGAGGAATATTTTAATCCGCGCTAACGACAGGGATTTTCATCTAACATAGCCGAACGTAACTGTTATACAACATACCTTTAACATGTTACGATATTGTTATTATTAGAAAATGAATTAACTTTCAAAATTACCAAACTTGAGGCGTCAAACGAACGATTCCATAATTTGTTAATTACGAACATTCCACCTCTTTGTCAGCACTTGATGATGTTAATTTATGAAAAATTCACTCTGCTTCATTATACAAACAAGCTATTATAATTAAAATCAAATATAAATAATATTGCTACATAAACTACGGAGTAAATATTTGGATCGCGAAATAATAAAACGGTACGGTGATGTAACCGCCAATCAGTCTTAATTTGCGAAACGCAATTTAATTCAATTATACAATTAACGTATTCCACTGCGCTTCATGTGTAATACTTTTCTTTGATTGAAAATATATTTGGCTGAAACGTGTGGCCAGGGTGAAATGACTACAATTGTCGTATGTTTTTCCGGCTCGACCGGAGTGATACCACGGCCTCACAGAAGAACGACGTGAAACAACGTTGTGTTGTGTTTCGTCATGTGAGTGAGGTTACCGGAGGCCCAATTACCCCCCCCCCTCCCTTTCCCCAATCCCTGAATCCTCAACAATCCTCAAATTCCTAATTCCAAAAGGCCGGTAACGCACTTGTAACGCCTCTGGTGTTCCAGGTGTCCATGGGCGACGCCGATTACTTACCATCAGGTGATCCGTCTGCTCGTTTACCGGCTTATCCCATAAAAAAACTCAGGACTTTTTCACGTGTACACCTAGTAGCCATGTTTTAATATAATGTAATTGCATCGCTCAATCTCATATCAAGCATCACCGCCCAACAGCCTGTCGATATTGGACAGCTTCAATATTTTCGGGCAAAAGACATTAGGCTGATCTGACCGGGTCAGAGTATTCTGGCCATGTAGTATTATCTGTTGCATGCCGCCGCATATCTTATACGGATATTAATTCTCATTACAAGAATATTTTTAGTCCGTCGAAAATTGTTCGTAGGTATTTGGAGTCGTCGATTATTGTTCTCAGTTTGCACTAAGCTGTCATTCTTCGCCAAGTCCTTTCAACATTAAAAAAGGTACCTACGTATGATTGGCTGAATCCATTAACCGGGGTTAATTATCCTAAGCCTCGAAGTGTATCTATCCGCGATTGAGGAGCACGGTCAACTAGACTAAGTAACGAACCTCAATCATTGTGTCCGGCAAACTTGTTTGCAGTGATCCGTTTTTGATTACAACTCAATAGTTTGCTCTGTTGGGCGGCGCGCGGCGTCTGATCGAGCTCAAACTCGACTAAATTAATGAGAATTATGTAAGTGTTTCGTGTTTTTATACGCGAGCGGATTGATGTTTATGTTTATACGGAGAATTGTCGAACATCCTTCATTTCTAACTCTTTCACAGTTAGTGTAATTAAGTTATGGAACGCACTACCGCTTAACATAAAAAAGGCCCCAAATAAGATCACTTTCAAACGCGATGTTCACGATTTCTTTTTAAAGTCACTACAACGCTGAGTCTAGGTCTATTATTATTATATATGTATTATTATAGAATTTATTTATTTAGTATATATATATATGAGCATGCATATATACACCTATATATTTATGTTGTATTTATATTGTAGTGTACATTTTAAATATTTTTTGTACCTATCTATATTTATTAAAGTCTGTTTATGTTATTTGTTTCTTATAATTACACATGCCTATTTTTTCGCCTTTTTCAATTTAACCCTAAGGTTGACTGGGAGAGAATGCCATATGGCATTAATGTCCGCCTTATGTACCATTACTTGATTCTGTGTACATTAAAGCTTAAATAAATAAATAAATAAATAAATAAATTGTTTTGTGGATTACATTGAACAATAATAGCTTCGTTTTCGGATTCATTCATGTTTTACTTTAAAAATAATCGACTGTCTTACTGCAAACTTATATACTTGTACAGCTTGCCCTTGCCATAACTAATTGGATATGAAAAGATAACCGTTTTACGTAATTTGCATAATCCGTAACAACATAGCAACACAATGGTAGCATTTAATTACGATTACGGATCAAGCAATTAGGTAATCTTTTATACATTTACAGAGCATATTCTTGTATTAAAACATGTTTTGACGTGACGTATAAAATTGAGAGCGGGGGAAACTTTTATGACAGACGACTTATGGTCTATCAACGTCAATCCCAGTGAGTTGGAGTAAGGCGATCTCAGCGACTTTAAGGTGTGTAATTAAAACTTACCACCGACGGAGACGCTCTCGAGAAGGCGGAGGTGTTTTATATTTCGTACATTGCTGGATATATGTATAATCGTATATCTTATGTAACATATGCGCCATCAGTGAATTTTTAGTCGATACATAGTTGTCTGTTTTTAAATTGCGGCAAAAAATGCGCAATGTAAGTATAGCGATAAAGTCGCATTTAATACACAACATCAACAGCCTGTTTTCGTCCACTGCTGGACATAAGCCTCCCCAATGGCACGCCACTGAGCTCGGTCTTCAGCTCTAAACATTCAACCACTACCAGCCACTTTACGGTATATCGTCACTCCACCTAGCTGGAGGGCGCCCTACACTACGTTTGCCTAATACAGAACATTTATTATTAACTAGACCGAATAATACGTATGACCCGGTAACTACAATCGAAGCCAAAACCGATTGCATATAAGCTTTTCATATAATTCAATGAAGTTACGTACATCAGTGCGACCATTTCTAACTCAAGGCCGGTTTAAGATTTTTAAAACTATTGATTTGCCGCATTTGACTACGCTCTGAATAAAAAACTTTTGAAAAAGTGGGCATTATATTCTATGTAATTTTTTTTTAAGGGGGGAAACAATCATCGAATGACTGCTCCCGCCCGGGTGAGGCGAGAGGGAGTGTCAGACTCTTACTGACTAAAAACCACCCCGTTCCTTCTCCTGCCTGCACGTCGAGCCGGAGCCCCGGTTACCCGTTAGGTTCTCCGCGACATGCAACATCAGTCTTGAGCAGTTGATTACAACTATTATTGCATAAATGAAACATTTAATTTATTAGTTTTATGAATATTAAACTTATTTTGTACTATGCCTGTGAACGTTTTTCGGGAGCGTTCCTGTATGTGTACCAATGTATATAAATTGCGAAGCGCTATGGAGTCCGCGGCCAGCTCGTTTAATAATAAAAGCAAACAATCCGTATGTAATAGAAAGATGCACGAGGCGAAAAATTGCTAGTTAATTATGTATCCGTTCGGTGCCAACAAATGCGTTACATATTATTAATACCTACTCAATTTTGTTTCGACCATTTCTATTGTATGTATATAGTACAGAAATGTGTGTTCAAGTTTATTGTGTTTATGGAGTTTAAGCCCTGTCATGTACTGTAAAATTACTTAGGTACTATTGAGAGACCCCAAGATCCAACTCCCCTCATGGGTGCTGATGAGATGGTGAAAACCGTACGTATATTTTCTCCCCCAAATGAGTTTTGAAGCTAGTCAGAAAAAGGTAAAAAAACACTAGATTTGTAGCTACAAAAAATGAATCCACACGACGTGTTACATAACGTTTAGCTTTGAATCCATATGTCAACTTTTAAGTATTCTTCAATATTTACACCAATGGTCTACCATGGTCAATACCACTATACACAATGTCATTCAATCATTTTTCGATTTAAAGGCAACTCTTCAAGGCACGACTTGGAGATTTAAAGGCAACTCCTTAAACTTATTCATTTAATAACGCTGAATAAGAAAAATTACTTCATACTTTTTTCTATAGACGTGAGCCAATGATGTGACATTCACAGATTCAATATAATTATTATATTTATGCCGTGTGAACGTGTGATATATGTGATCAAAGTACTCACCTTATCGGAATCGGTGGTGTTCCCACTGCCGAAAGACGCGAGCGAATTTCGATCGAGATTCTCCGTCGTTTCATCAAGTATTGTGTCGTCCAGATCCCTACAAACAATCGTGATGTTAATAACACATCATCATTAACACCATCAGTAAGGAATATGTATAGAGACGAAGTTTGACATAACCTTCACACATGACAGGTGGTTTGGGAATAGGAATTAGGCTATCGGAAGTTTAGCCATTTTCGGCACTTTTATCTGGTAAAGGGTAATATTATTGCTGGTCATACCTGCTTGAACGCTGAGAGCTAGCAGGACGGCGCGCAGGGCTTCTGGGCGGCTGGTGAAGAGCACCGCTAAAGTAAGTTTCCTGTTGAAAGGAAACATGTTTTAATATATGGTAGAGTAAAATAATTTTATTACCCAAGTAGATACTTAACGGCTATTGTACTTTAGTTACTTTCATAGCAAATTGTTATGTTAACAACGAGTATTTGACAAAGGCCTCAACAGAAAAAAGAAATAAAGAGGATTTCCCATAAAAGAATAATACACACAAACACATGTTTCGACAATAAGAACATCATAATAAAGTTATGATATCATCATTTGATCCAATTATTATCGCACCAAACAATACGAAATTCCAAGAAGAATCAAATATGGAATATAATATATGGGATAGATATAAGATTTAATACCTTTATGTAGGGCAGCACTATCATAAAACCAAAGCTCTTAAAGCGTAAGCCGATTAAATAGCTTTGTGTATAGCCAGGGTCGGATTAAAAGGTTTGGGACATCGACAGAGTAAAGGGCCCGAATACTTTTTGTGGCCAGATGAGAAATAATCCTCTTCATAATGTTTTACGTTGTTTATTCTTCTTATTTATTTTTGAAACGAATTTTTCAGCGCTATAATAGTATTTGTTTTACGTCTGGGTAAACTGATAGAGTTAAAGTATAAAATTCTCATTTGTTTCATACCTGGATCACTTCTCGCAGCCGTCGGACCCAGGTCTGCTTGACCTCAAGCGAGGGTGCCTTCAGCACGATGCGGCAGTCACTGGCCATGGGCTCTGGGCCGGTCCATACTGAGAACTTGCATTCATCTCCCTCGATGTGTTCGGTCACACCAAGCTCGGAAGTCTAGACAGTTATAAACTCAATTACAACGTGGTAAGCGGCCAGTAAGTTAATAATTTCGTTTGATACTGTATCACTTGCACGTTTATTAGTGAAGGAAACACATTCAATTAAGTTCCACGCATTAGCTGGCAATTTACTTGGAATACAGTGATACATACTGTCGATAAATAAGGAAAGTGTTGTTAAAGTAAGAAAAGAGAACACTGTCTTAGAAAGAGACCAAATCTTACCATGAACTTAGTCTTGTAAATGTACTTCGCTTTTCCATGCGAGTCTTTGACTTCTTTAGCGAGCAAGAGATGTAGGTCAAAGAGGAAGACGCGTCTCTCGCGACCTTTCTTGATGATTTGGCGAAGGTCCCACACGTGGAACGAGTCCTGCAGGACCACTTCACCGAGGCTGTCTGTGGGTACATCACACCCCTCCAGCAAGGACAGATGCATAGCGTCGTTGGCCTTCTTCGGCACAGACAACATAACCTCGAGACCGTCCTGGTAAACAAAAAAGCAATTTTGACTAACTGACTCAACAGTTTTGTTATAATTTGGTAAAGATGAAAGAGCAAATCTGTAGATAACTGGTGCAAAACCATTCTAAAACAGTTTTTTCAGAAAATTGTGCATATATTTGACTCATCAAACATGTTCGGTGCATATGTCGGACTACCTTGGTCCCTTGGTGCATATTTTAATGATACAAGCTTTATAGGTAACTAATATATGTCCACAAAATAAAAATGTTATTTGGGCGGTGTCACGTGACCTACAACTGAAATCTAGTGTGACGTCATAACTGTGTCAACTGTCAGTGTCACTGTCAACATTGGTAAAGATGTTGAATTCTAAAACTCCGTATACAATATGTTTAATAGAATGAACATTGTATTTATAGGTGAGAGCTGCACACCTGCACACCTGTATTATACTTTACGATCTGTTTTCTTTATGTAAACCGTAAGATTAATATTTAGGTAATGTTTATCGAATTGACTACACATTAATTACGTAGTTTCAACGTTTTGACGTCGAATAAAAAATGTTTGAATAGTAATTCTGGTGCCAAATTATCGTAAATTATTTATTTATTTAAGGCTTCATGGATAAAAAATATGTATATAGGTAGACTATACTATCATCATAACAATAATCATATTATTATAACAACAAGAAATAAATTCGCGTTCGTAATAGTATATTTATTTGTACAATGTTAGTGTATAATATAGGTACAGGGTTAGAAGATAATAATACTAATATTAAATAACTATGCAGTCACATGAATAGCTTATCTCGAATTAAAATAAACAAACAATATGAGGCAAACGTATATCTAAATTCAATTGCAACGAATATTAATAAGTTATAAATTGATATGTAACGAGGTAACGAGCAGAGTGTCTTGGGTTCTGACTAGTAATTGCATTCTCCATTAACTAAATTCTCGGTAATTATAGTTCAAAAAGACGCTTGTACTAAATTTCCAAGTGTCTGATAATGCGCTCGCACCTATAACAAGGGCTTTATAGCATATTCCGTGCCATGAATGATTAACGGTAAGTTTTGCAATATAAGGAATATTACATAGTATATAACATTCGCAAACAGCGGCCATTTTGTTTAATTAGTAACTTGTTTAAATATTATATACTCAACACAGTACAAAAATGAAATCAATCATTTGTATCAAAGAGCGAAATCAATATGCAGATTCCTAACTGCATAAGTTGGCAGTGTAATCATCATCAATGAGTGCCATGGTCACCAAGTCACTCAACACATAAGCGTTAAATAAAAATAGGCATTACATACATTTCTAATAGAGAGAGGGCCAATCCTGTTCGCTTTAGAATTTGCTATAAACTTCAACATGATCGATGTCAGCACTTCCACTCCCGACAAAACCATTACATTTTACTGGTATTTAAATGAACAATCACAAAACATGGAAAACGACGTGTGGATGCGTTCGATAGGAACCAACTGTGGCAAATGGGCGTAAGGTGATGAGTCACGAGGAAAATATTGAACTAAATCTATTGTTAATTACCACTAAGTGAACTACTAGTTTAATCTTTAACAAATCCAACGTCCACTGCGTTTAAACAACACTACAAAATGTCAAACACTATGTATTGGCTCTACGCCGCCCGCGCCGGCGGGACCCGATTGGTGATTGATTTCATTCCTTAAATCTACTGTCCTGAATCATCCAAGGCCAAACAAAACGAGGTTGAATTTGGAATATTCCTCAATCACTTCCCAAAATGTAGTGACTAAGGTAAAAACAAGCAGTTCACTGTCAAACATACATTTTGTTGTTGCGATAACCGTCATAAATTGTAAAAAACTCGACAAGGTTATATCCACAAGAGTGGTTTGTTAGCTCTATCTTGATTATCATAATAGCAGCACACATACACAACAATCTAGGAAAATAATAATTTTGGTCATTATGTTTGAAACAGTTAATGTGACGCTGTCCGTTACTAATTAGTTTGTTGTACTGATACGGGTCTGTAAACATGATTGCAATGCGTTATGGCACCATTAGAAGAGAAGTCCCTGCGTATTGAGTAGTCATATATTGAACACAACTGATGCAAACGCAATATGCAGTAGACTGTGTAATCTCACACATTTATTCATGCATAAAAAACCCTAGAATATAACGCAAATAGACATAAATAAACACATGACTGTGAAACACGTCACAACTCTAGTCAGAACATGACTAACTAATTTTTCCTATATAAAAATAATGAGCCGCTAATATCCTTCGTTAAGTAATTTTAAGAAACTTTTTCCTATGAATCTCGTACCACGCACCATTGCATAGTTAACACAATTGTTTATTAAAAGTGACAGTGATTTTAGTATACAATTATAATTCATACTCAAACGTGGGCTATTCAAAGTATCTTAAAGAATGTTGTACTGTATTTGTATTTAACAATGGACCCTAATTACCGGCGACTATTGATTGTTTTTATCTACTTACCCAAGATATTTTGATGGGTAAACACAACAGATGAAGCTCGTTATCAGTCAGTTGTAGAGTGAACACTAACCAAGATTATTGAACAGATAAGTGACAGTAACTGTGGTTTTTTATTATAAAATTTCACGCAAATTGTTGGTAATACTTTGATCGCGTTAACGTCCAGCGTAAGAATTGAGTTTTCCTGTCGTCTTTATCTTATCAGTGGCTGTAATCTATAGGTACGTTTTACGAGAAATTGTTACGTACACAAAACATACGTGTCAGCGACGTAAAAATGGGTTAGTTCGAGGATAGAACACATGACGAGCGCTATTGACCCTGACTGTAAGATATTGTTGGGTACTTTTCAAGTTCTGTAGTTACCCGATAGTGACATAATGTTCACGTTTACTATCAGGAGTGGTACATTAGTAATCTTCAGAACAAGGCACTGCGGCTCGAGTAAAACAGTCATTGTTAAAGAAGTCTGTCTGATCTACGACACTTATTTTATTTTTTAAACTCTGTACTGGCTCGCATATGTAAATGTAAATGTCGGCCTCATCGTTCGCTTGATAAAATTGACGTGTAAAAGTGCTGCCTTGTAGCCTATTTGCAGAAATAAATTCACTTGTTTCACTTGCATATTTTGTTTTAAATTAGAAATATGTACTTATTAAATTGCAGAATTTAAACTAAAGTGTACATTTATTCATTGAATACAAATTAACGGAGTGTCCCATCTACCGTTAACATAACAAACAGGATAATATTATTGCTTCGTGAAAAGGTGTATTTTCCTAGAAGTAAATTATGTCGTAAATAGTCGGCAAAGACAAGGATGTGCATTTAATAAAATAAAGTTCCTACATGGACCGAAGATACTTGAATGAGCACTATTTGAAGTGCTTTACTATATTAATTTCAATCATACTATTTAATTCCATTGTTTTACTTTATCTTTACAGAGGAGTTACACATTAATATTTGTATAGTTCTTAAATTAATCAGTCAAAACCACAGTAGATTCATCATTAACTATTGGAAATTAGGTAGGTCACTGTAACTAGTAACCAGATGGTTACAGCGATTCTATTGTTACCTATAAGAACTAATTTTAAACGCAAGATATTATTAAAAATAGTATAAAAGTTCAGTAGATTTCAAACAGATCCTTGTTTTGTATATCGATATTTGCGTACAAGCAGTATCTCGAAAGTTTAGATTACACAATAGAATTTGTAGTCAGTCATGTCTTCCCATACAGTTGTAGACTACGCGGAAACATGCAAGTGCCTAGTGTTAAAAATATTTATTTCTACATACTACATTTCGTACAAAAATTACTAGGTATAAAATGTTTTGGATGCGTCAAATATTTGTTCTAAAAGTGTACTAGAATGAATCAGAAACAGTTGAAGTGTCCGAGTGGTGAATTGGTTTTGTTTCAACAATAAGTAAAGGAATTTATTCAACGTATTTTCGATTTTTTTCTCGTTTACGACTAACAATCGTAGAAAGAAAATGCTTTAAATATATTATCAATTTAATAAAACGTAGTAATCATTGCATGTTTGAGTTTTCGGGTCATACATCTAACCTTGATTCGCTTTTCATGTAGTATAAGGGATTTGAACAAAGAATCGTCTTCGATCGGACCCCTGTTTCATAATTTTTCAATCACATGAATTGTTTACAGTTGAAAATAAAATACTTCAAATTTGTATCACCTCAAAGTTATATATAAAATGAGTTGAGTTCAAAATGTAGCGCTACATCTCCGTAGCGAATATTATAAGTACGTAGATATAGTACTGACCTTGATTTCGCCTTGCCCTTCGGCGCAGCAGGCTTGCAGATCCTTCAGTAGCAGCTGGTACTTGGTAATACGCTGCACTGGCTTGATCAGGTATGCAGCCAGAGGGTGCTCCAGCTTCTTCTTACGTTGCACCCTGCACCACACACAATCAATAAACTAATGCACTGACCGAACCAACTAACCATTATCTACATTGCTTCCTAATGATTTTGATAAGTAAATCTTCCTAATTATTGTCACAGAGTACATCAAAGCGTCCAGTAACAACGAACGAAAACTAACATTTGTATGTTCAAAGAACGAATGCTGATGACGACTGTTTAAACGATAACTGCCTATTGTTCGGGACGCTACTGTTTCTATGGAGCAACTCTTTAAAAGGGTGATAAGATGATAACAAACCATATAATGGTCAGGTCTTTATATCTATGGGCAGTTGTAAATAAATGATGAATCTCACAGTCGGAATGTTTGGGTTTTGAGCACGGTGTAGATATATTCCGTGCAAACGTCTTGCAACTCGAAATAACAAGTCTCACTTGAATCGATAAGAGAGCTAAATGTGAACTAGTTTATCAACCGGCACAATTACATTTAATTATATATGACTGCAGTCATTATCTAATTTATATTGCAAATGAAAATTTCGATTTAGACGCCACGTAGCTGTTTGTTTTATTTAGGTTCACATTCCCCTAACTGTGTACCATTTAATATCTTATGTTCTTGTCAGTACAGAAAACATTACTCATAGGTAATGTCCAAGTAACGACAAAGAATAAGAATTCGATAAATCCCAATAGAAGCCGTGTTTTATAATAATGAGTACTGAATGTATCTACAAATAGCTAGGAAATATAAGTCATAATTAAGAACTAAGACCTGTTAATCAAGAACTGACAACGTATGAATTATTCAAATCTAATGATAGGATAAGGCAGGAAGACAGAGATGATATAGAGATTTCTGATTTTGGTCTGTAATTGTGAACCTACATAAACAAGTGCCTGATAGCAGCTAACACTTCTTTGCATAGCATTAACATTACGCAATAAACAACGAATAATATCAATTTTAATCGATCCAAGTTCAGATAGTCATTGAAAATTCTTCAGCATTAGACATCCCATAAGCTGTGATACTTTTTGTTGTTAGTTTTATGTTATATTGAATTACGGTTAGACGTTTGTGTATAGTTCACATAAAACCCTTACCTTTCAAAATAGTCGCCAGCATTTTGCACGACGGCCGCGTTACTATCAGGCTTGTTGCGGCAGTAAGACACGTACATGTCGAACTCTCGCGCCCACGTCACGAAGCAATGACCCACGTCTTCAGGCATAGTCTCGTATTTATCCAGCTCACGGAGGAACACACGCTCATGGAAGCGGTGGATCTCCTCAATGTTGCCAAATATGATCTCCTCCTAGACAGAAATGATTGAATGAAATGATTATCGCATCAGCCACTCGTGACCGGTCAATGAAAGCAATTTCATCCTCAAAAAAATAAGGAACAAAAAGGCCAATACTGAACTGGACTTTTTGTTCTGTCGCAGTACAAGCATTTAAACTTTAAAATCGCCTGATAATGAAACTGCAACGACCATGTTACTGCACACACCTACCAAAGTGAGGATTATACTTTTAATTTTTTTTTTATATTTGTTGGGCCGACGTTTGATCATTTAAAACAACAACATAGATACTCAGATGAGGGGAACACCTCAAATGTGTTTATGACCTTATGTACAGAACATACCTTTCCCTGCAGCGCTTGTGGCACGGCGCCGGGGTCCGTGCGCATCTCCCGCAAGTAGCATGTGATGCATGTTTCCAGATCCTTCACATACGCACGCTCCGTCTGCAGTAACTCCGCCATTATAAACCTGTATGAATTTCAATTTAATTGTAGTAATTACAGAAAACAGCACATTGAAAACTTAATAAAAAAAATCGTACTCTTTGCGTCTAGCGCTGCGTCGTTTGTCATCGCCAACTGCGGTGGGTTGCGGTTCTGCGCGGGCGTCGTTGTCCGCCGACTGAGATGACGCTAGGGAAGGAGCCACGCCCGAGTCACTCTCCGGTTCGCTCTCACCTCCTTCCATGGAACCGCTGAACTCTGCATATCTGGACATAATAAACACCAATTCTAAATAATTATACATGTAATTAAATTACACAGTACGATAAAATTGGCAAGATTTATCAGCTATCTGTCCAAGCGTTCTATCAATAAAAGTAATGAAAGTGAACTTGTGTCAGAGTTGACACTTGGCCAAATATGAGGGATATATAAGTATACGAAGTGTTAATGTAGTTACCTGGCATCAACGGCGGCGACCCACTCCTTGATCTGCACGGCATGTGGGTGTCCCTTCTCGACGAGTCCGTCGGCTAGCTGAGCGAGCAGACGCACGCGTTCCCGGGACTCGCGCGCGACGCCGCCCGCCGCAGCCGCCGCGGCCGCGCCGCATCGCTCCTGCGTCTCCTTGATCCATTCCACTGCGGCACGCGCTGACCGCTCGAACAAAGCGAACTGCTGACACTGCTCCAGACGCTTCTTACGCACCGTCCAGTGTTCCAATACCTATCGGAAATTAACAAACTTGTAATAAGTCCCGATTTCTCAGTGACCTACCAGTAGTTACAGGCACACAAAGAAACGATTGGCCAAATCCAAAAGATATTATAACAGCACGTCAAATCACAAATCCTTTAGTAATCCTGTGATCTCCATGAAATCCTGGACACACTTGAATATATTTGGATGTGATGAAGATATACCGGTTGTATGATCACCATAACAAAACTCTTTATCATGTTCACGCAGCGCGCGCGCTTGAACTAGACACATGGCATATGAGAGCAGGCGGCCGGGGCTTCATGTTAGCTGCCCTCGAGATACCATCGCACGCCATACAATAAAAACCTTATTGTTTCCACGTCCATTCTAACGCGACGACACTGACACCAGCAATGCCACACCACTAGTATTAACCTACATGAAAACCTGTACGTTGTACATAAATATTGTTATTGACATAATTGGAATGTTCAGTAGTCGTGTAAACAAACAAACAAATTGAAATCGTAGCAAAGGAAGCGTATATCTGTTGAATAACGGCGCAACGCAAAAATAGCAATGCTATGAAAACGTCCGATTGATATCTCTGAAGGGTTTCTATTCAGTGTTATTTTTACACTTCCTGTGAACAATGTGATTCTATAAACTTGTCCTGTCGACCTTGCCGTGCTAAAGTACCGCAAATGTGTTATTTTTATAAATTACCAACGACTAAAATGTTGACCGAACTCTAATAACAGTGGCAGACAATATTTACAGCTTTCAATGAAATTGCACGCTCTTATTAGTTTCCAGAGGTATAATTATTGTTAATCAATTATTTTATGGACGCGACGCATCGTTGTTGCCTGTACCAAAACCAGTAATTATTTTTTCTCGTGCGGAAGGAAAATCTGAAGTTAGTGGCAATCAAAGCACGCAGTTTTTATGTATTTCCTCATTAAAGCGAGCTGTAAAAGTGTGACTGTTATTTCTCTTGCATTGTATCGTGTCTACGTGAACGGATTAATCGTCTCGAAGACGTTCACGTTTGATTACATTTACATACGGTATACTATACACGATACTTGTTGTGAAACTGTCTTTACTATCTCAAGTAGTTTTTGTTCAGCAAATAAAATTAACGAAGCGGAATTAATTAACAAACTTTCCTAGATACAAGATTCTAGAATTAAAAATCTTTCTAAAAATATTTCAAATTTTTCTTCTGACTCGTACAAGCTGTTAAGAATATTGTACAATTTCTTCGAAACAATATTGATTTTCCATGGAGTATCGCGACGTCAATTGCAGAAATACAATTAATTCTTCGATACAAGTGTGTCAAAGACATTGTTAGCGCTGGCCTACTATCGAATCATTAAATGTTCATAAAACCTTCAGTTGTAAGGTATATTATACTTACCTATAACTATATGACAAAGTGGGTGACGAATGTTAATGTGGAAAGTAGAATAAATGAAATATGGGTATTCTGAATAATGTTGATCTGATGCTGTAAAAGGAACTAACTACCGAAATTATAATCGATCGATTCAAAATCTCTGAATTGATGTATATACTTGAAGAAACTTAAACAATTAATTAATATCAATTTCGATCTCTGACTGGATTTTGGTGTTACATTGTTCTCACACTTTTGAACCAACAAAACTGTGTAACTAAAAATTGTATTGTGAAGCTGATTGAAAAAGAGTATACCATGCAGTTTTTCTTTTCCATAAGAATCTACACCTTGGAATGAGCAAATAGCCCCACTTCAATTAACTTGACGTACAAAAGTGCCTTCCTGGTTTAATTAAAATAAATGATTTTGACTAGACTTGACTTGTAATAGGATAACGCCCAAGTCTAGTAGGTTACAATGGAACAAGAAGATACATTGTTCCAACGTCAAGTACTTCGGCATAAGAACAGGAACAAGCAGAAGAAAAGATTCTTTTCCAGTATTTAACAACGAAGTGATATTAATTTAGATAAATACGATCAACTTGTTCATAAAATAAAAAAAACTATACATACTAAACTATAAAACTATGCAAAGCAGTGTTTACCAGTCTAACGGACTATAGCTTAACTGTAATCTCATTATCCGTCGGATGAAAAATACTCATTTAACCACGGTAGAATTGACAATCATATTTTATGACAATTTTACCATCCCATTAGAAGCCCGAAGTCTGGAAATGTGCCCACCCGGTATATGGCAATAGGCTCGCCACCTATTACATGGGACTCATAACATAAATAGTGTAAAGTGGGTGTTACATTGTACAGTGGCATTAAGTGCCATAATATGCACCTTTGTCTACCCCTTCGGGGATAAAAAGCTTGACGTTTTTCAACAACAATTCAGTAATAATCAAATAAACCACGTTAGACTTATACACGTTTACACCGACCTAGCCTAATTTTGTGAAACCCGTAAGCTAATATAGTTGACATTACTACATTTTAGTTTTCATAAACCCAAGTCGCTATCGCAGAAGATTTCTTCTGCTAACTATGCACATATGCCGTGCATTGTACACTTGAAGGGATAAGTGATATCAAACAGTACAAGTATAGAGTTTGTTTGAAAAACTTTTAGTTATAAGATGATTTGAGAGGGGTTGGTGAAAATGGCCGTTAGAATCATCGAAAATATTTCACATCTTAATCTCTAAACATTCACAGCAACACTAAACAATTGGGTACTTTCCTTAATCAAACCAAATTATTTCGACTGTTCAATACAATCAAGTATTAAAAAATAATCACACTTTCATTAATTTATTTTATGACCAACTTAATTTTAGTACTTTTCCAGCATTTTTTTTAAGAAATAAGTATACCTTTTTAGTATAAAATAACGCCACGTTGGCGTCACAATACACAATATCGAACAAAATTCATTGAAAACTGTCGTTTTTGACAGTTCGAAAAAAGTATTAAATTTGACATGGCAAGAACCCAATTGAGTAAGCTTAGTAACTTCTTACCTTATTCTCTTGAGCCAGTAGAGTATCAAGTATAGCCCTGGTTTGCTCATGGTGAGCTTTGCTGGCCGCGGCGGTCTGGCCGTGTACTTGAGCGGATCGCGCCGCATATTTGAGGAAAGTCTCTGCGGTACGTCGAGCCAGGGTGCACGCCTTCAAGAAGGCCTCCTTCTGTTCACCATGCTTCACTATTAATGCAGCCACCTGGAATAGGACCACGAACTTTAGTAAACCATAAACACTTGAAACTGTTAATACTTACTGTATTTTTAACCTGTGTTTATAGGAGTTACAATCATTTGATTTAAAATAACCAATTGATTTTTTTTTTAATTTTATTTTTGTTGTAAGGAGTTATCTCAGTCAAAAGAGTTCAATCGCATAAATAGAACTTAAGACGCATATATGGGGACAAATACGAATTGTACCGTCGGAATAGCTAGTCAGTTATAAATATTTAAGACCCACACTCACGGTGACGTTAATCAAAACACCGATACAAGTTAACGGTTATTGCCATCCCTCCTCCTGTTAACTGGATGTCGTATTTGTAAATACAAAATAATAAGAGCGGCAAGTCTATAAATCTGCAACGCGATATAAACCAAAATTTCAAACATTTTGATATAGCACGTAAACAAATTCAAAGTTAAAAAGTTGAATTTAAAATCAACGATCGGAATTTTCGAAAATCGATAAAGAGGCTCCTGAGACGGGTGCACTGCGCGACAATAGTGGCGGTTGTAACATAATCGATACAAAGGCGTAGGTAGCTCTTCACTTATGCATATGACCGCGGATGGGTAGTTGGAAATGGAAGATGAAAGTTGAATTACAGGATAGTGTGGTGTTGGTTACCTGTGCGGCTTTGTCGATGTTTAACTGGAGGGTCTGGTCGTCAGCGGGCGGCGCGGCTGCTGAGCCACACCAGTCCTCGTCCCGGCGGTACTCCCGCTCCAGTGAATCCAGTACCGAGCAGACCTGCTCGGCTGTCTTGTAGAAGTTGAGCGACGCAGTCACCAGCTTGTGACGCTCCTCCGCACAGGTCACCAGCCTCTGCCATCTTTCAGTAACTTCTTCCGAAATTTCTCTATAGTCAAAATACGTAGTCATTGGAAAAGAGTTGAAGTCTATCTCGAACTGTATTCGTGTTATACATATATATGTGCTGATATGATGATGATGACGTTAAAAGCAGTTTTTGAACCCACATATTACCTTTACCATCGACTGTAAACTATTGATGGCAAATTCTCTGCAAACGGCGGGTTACATTATCGATTAACACGCGACAATTATAAAGTAAAACAGTTACGTAATTAAATCGAAGAATAGAATAATTAATTTAGTACGCCCAAGAAAATTATAATAAAATAATAAAATCCCTCTTTAAATAAATAAAAGAACACTTTCGTAAATGTCGACCGACCGGGTACCGGTAAACCCTTACAGTATCGACCTTGGGAATAACTGTTTCGTTTCGCAGCTGCAAAAGCTTCCACGATGCAAAAATAATTGCACCAGCTCTACAGCTGAACAAATGTAGTTATTATTTATAAGGAAAACCTAACATTATGCAATTATTATAATCGCTGTTGGTTAGTTTGTTTGTTCTTTCATGTCCGAAAATAGCCGTGTGCATTGTTAGGGGAAGACAAATGGGTTTTATAATATCTTATGGTTTATGCAAAGATTACTGCGGCATGGTATCGCTTTCTAAGAATGTACTTGAAAGATGGTTTTGAAACACTAGAATATTGAACTATGACTGCCTCGTTGGCCGAGTGGTTGCAAGTGCGACTGCCGAGCAAGGGGTCTCGGTTTTTTTTTTTAAATATCAGTATTAGCACGGATTCTGGAATTGTTTAAGGTATATGGCATTAGACTCACCCCTTATTACATAGGACTCATAACATAAATACTGAAAAGTGGGTGTCACCTCTGCCGACCCCTTCAGGGATAAAAGGCTCGATGCTATGTATGTATATTGTATTTATTGACTTGAACATGTAGGCGTATTATTCAGATACGTAATAAGAGAAGGACACGGCTCTGTTCCATGTTGTAAAAAGATAACATCTACATATTATATTATTCTCGGAGGGCTGGAGATGAAACGTAAATGACGTCTTTCCCAAATTTTTATAAAAACGACATCGATAATTGATTGGGTAACCTTTCCTCACACGAAATCATTATTTGTAGTTTCCACATATTGTCGTTCATAGTCTGGGTGTGGCGTGAAATTGTATTTCTGTCACCCAGTTTATTGTTGTTCTGGTAGGTGAGTCGCTACTAGACACAGGTGTGCAATGTAACTCCCACTTTTCACCAGTTACGTTACGTATAAAACTGTTGCCTTGTAGTCTATTTGCAGAAATAAATTGACTTGTTTCACTTATTCTCCCGAACCAGGTATAATTCCAGACTGTGTTATGTCTGAACTATTTCCGAAAAATCTAAACTAAAACTATATATATAACCGACCTCAGGGTCGTGCCTTTTGCTGGGCAGTCTTGATACAATCGATTTTTTTCTGTTAAAGCAGTAAACTAATTATCATTATATCATTATATTCTATTCAATACAAGTATATGCTTCCTATACCTATAACATGCTTTCTACACAGAGAAATGAAGTTACTATAACAATACTTCAACCAAATAAGCAACTGGCAGACATTGTATAAGTAGGGGACAGCAAAATGTATTCTAGTTAGTAAATGCAAAGAATTTAAAAAGACGAGACGTCCGCTGTTGGGCAGCGGATATCTCCCCTAACTACTCGAACAACATTGTAGTACGCGACGGGCTTACTAGATGGCGTTAATTAATTGTAGGGAAGAGAAAGAGATAGCTCAATCTCTTTACTCTTTAAACATTATTAAGTGGTGTTAACTTATTCTGTTTAAGTCTTCATAAACCATAATGTAATCAGTATATCATGTTTCAAGTCCTGACAATTAAAGATTAAATGCTTAAGCACTGTATAATCAACAAAGAAACGTATGTCCTGCTACATAATATTACATCATCATCATCATCAGCACACGAAAATAGTCCACGGGTGGACATAGGCATCCTCGAAATAAGAGGATTTTTCAATAACATCGTTTCTTTAGTAATAGGTTATTACTTACCTAGATTAGCAACTTATTTAATGGGTGTTCAGACCAGTGTAAGTTTACGAGAACCCATCCCCGCCCCACGTCTGTTTTACACAACAATATGACGCCTACTGATGATTAGTTACCCGTTTAGTACATAGGTACATATTAGCTGTTGAAAATCAAAAGTAACTCACCGGATAGTATGTGGGTCGTAGTGATTGGCGGCTCGCAGAGCATCAGCCCTGTACTTGACTTGCACCGCACTTGCGTGTGTCTTCTCGACAGCCACTTGGAACTGGTCATGTTCTCTCTTCAGCTGTTCGGCCTCCGACAGGGTGCCAGGGATCGAGAACGAAGCCGCCAACATCGCTTCGCCGTTACGAATCCAACTAACCACTTGAGCAGCGTCCTTTTGGAATTGACCTGCAACAATACGGATATGTATCCATAACTGCCAAATACACCACTGAGAAACAGCATAAAAACTCCTTAGATACGTCGCAAACATGTCTTCATGAACTAATAGAAATAATAGCGCGTCGTAAATATTGTTTACGCAAAATTTCTATACTTTACACCATTCTCGGATGAACCCACGCTGACGTAGCTTATCAACAATGCTGCTCGAAGGCTTTGACGGGATATTCGACACCCTTATGTGTATACAAACTAGTAAGCAATATGAACATACTTTTCTACATAATCACGTTACACACTGTTATTAGATCCTACTGCTACACACGTATGCGTACATAGGTATTGAAATGCATAATGGACTAAGAGAAACTGTAGTAGTCCATTAGCATCTAATGGTAACATAGGAAGATGTTAAGTCAACCATAAGTTTCAGAACTTCAGATGGATGTTTCTCGAACGAGTACTAAGACTTATGGCGTGAATAATATATCAGCTTAACTTTACCTGCTTGTTCTAGCGGGGGAGATAAAATATGAAAAGCACTGATAGTACTGTGTCGTAAAATCCAAAATATTTGATCCATTGCGCGGAATATGACAAACACATGTATCCCCTGTTTCATAGACACTAACCTAAGATTATGTTTACTGAAGCTCCTGATTTCCTTGTTTCTATGAGTTGTAGTATTACACAATAGTATTAATAGATAATCTATATTTTACCTAGTGCACTGCCTCTATTTTACTCATTTATTAAATATTAAATCTATATAAAGCAACTTCCTGTGTTTATATATTATTGTTATTTCATTATTATGTTTACAATATTTTATGTGATAAGGGCAGACCAAAGAGGTCACCTGACTGCAGGTGACGAAAAATGTATTTGATTTCACGAAAAATGTATTCGATTTCTGGTATAAGTTTTCAGCGAAATAACCAACACCTTATTTATTTTAGCCCCTTATATTTATTCGACTATTCCGCCTTCGAGCTTTATGCTCTCTCTTAATCATAGGCCTCGAAAGACTACAACAATAAATATCCGTCAGTGCATATACATTTACCTGATGTATAGTATTAAAACAAGCGCATTACTGGCACTGATTTAGCCGATTGTGTGTCAGCGTCCTATTTACAAAGGTACAGCGGTGTTATACCAGTTTTTTAGTGCTTTAGAATAGCTATAACATTTCCGTTACACCTTGTATAAAGATATAGTTAAACGCACATCCTGTTACACCCTGTATAATGCTATAAAATATATTTACTTACCTAACTGGACGCACTGCTCGAATCGAGCACGTCTTTCTTCAGCCAGCTCTTCTAAATCAAGTTGCCGATCGTGTAAGAACTCTAGTAAGAGCTGAACGCGCGCTTGCGCATCAAGAGGAGCTGCTTCAGATCCGTCTGAGCCACTCGAGGCCATTACATCCGAAGCGTCTGCGATAGCCGCCGCAAGCTCTTGACCTTGCTGAACCACCTGGATTTATGAAAAAATATTATTATTAGGTCTTTTGAACTCTCAATAAACTGCTGTAAGCTTATAGTAAACGAAGTTTGTAAAGAAAATCATTTTGTTTTTGTCTAAATAAGTTAATGTGTATTCTATTAACATTTCAGCCTATTGTGCTGATTATATAATTACCAGTCGACCACAGAAGGCTTAATGTGATGGAGAATTCAAATGTCAAAGGTATATAAAGATGTCGATGATGTATGTTTCACTTTGATAAATCAATGTACTAAGTGCTATAAACTCATAGATTGTCTTACAACCCTCTACACGCCTTAGGCACATGAATAAAAGCAACAAATTAGAGGGGTCAGGACAAGCTGATCTCATTACTGTATTCAACTATCGAGGTAATAGAAGAACATACATAGATTCCCGGGTCGGGCAAAGTATTACTGGGGTTTTTAAAAATTCTCAGTAGTAGCACGGAGTCTGGAATTGTGTCCGGTATATGGCAATAGGCTCACCCCCTATTACATGGGACTCATAACATAAATAGTGAAAAGTGGGTGTTACATTGTATAGTGGCATAATGTGCACCTCTGCCTACCCCTTCGGGGATAAAAGGCGTGATGTTATGTTATGTTTATGTAAGAACATACCTGAAAGGTGGCATGTTGCATTCTAGCCACACTCTCGTTGTGTGCAGCCAATGCCTGTTCAGCTTGTTGAGGGTCCCGAGGAGGTTCCGTCCTCTGGAGCTCGTCGCCCCAGAGCTCCAATCGTGACGATACCTGGAAACAGCACGAACAGAGTCAACACCATGTGAAACACTACCGAGAATGAACATTGATTAAAAGAAATTGTGTCATTCTCACGCGTAAGTTATTTTCTGTTTTCTAAACACATTTGTTTATTGTTTTGTTAAAACGTTTTTATTTAAAACTCAAGTTATATGTCTTACTTTATATACTAGATTAATATATATATATAAGTAAATCTTTATTACAATTAATAATAAAAAAAAGTCATGTGAAGTGTGGGAGAGCCATGCAAGTGTGGGAGAGCCATGCAAGTGTGGGAGAGCCATGCTTCGGCACGAATGGGCCGGCTCGACCGGAGTGATACCACGGCCTCGCAGAAAACCGACGTCAAGCAACGATTGCGCTGTGTTTCGTCGTGTGAGTGAGGTTACCGGAGGCCCAATTACCCTCCCCTTCCCCAATCTCCCCAATTCCTGAATCCCCAACTATCCATAAACTCCTAATCCCCAAAAGGCCGGTAACGCACTTGTAACGCCTCAGGTGTTCCAGGTATCCATGGGCAACGCCGATTGCTTAACATCAGGTGATCCGTCTGCTCGTTTACCGGATTATGCCATAAAAAAATGACTAATGCGCCCAACTAGTACGTCTAATTGATTGATGGAAATCTATCAATACAAGTTGCCATGCCCTAATTTTTATTAGGGTTCAACTAATTCTATTCTTTAAATATAAGGTCATGGGCGCTTCACACATAAGGAGTCAGTTTGAAAGGTCCCTAACCTTTTGATTACGTTTTACTCGTTATATATGTGCGTGCATTGTCTTCACATACATGTATGTATGATGTAAGCACTAGTACGTCTATTGTTTGGTAGCTACTCGTGTTTATTATACCTACATGTAGAATATTCCATTATTGTCGAAAAAATTGCGCGTGTACATTGCTCAAGTTATTATGAAGGTGACTTATCAGTATTTCAATATAATCGCGGTATTACGGGTATATTTGTTTACATAAATAGTCATTTTATGATTGTATTGTTTTATGGGTTGATTGGTGTTGAATAATAAATAGTTATAGTAGGAGAGTCGGAACACATCGTGGAGCAATAGACGTCGAGCTATTGTTATGATGCAGTGTGTTCAAGTTCTTATCACATCCCTTCACGGGCGCATGCAAACCGATGGCAATCAGTGTTTCAATTGTGCAGCGTCTACCGTGCCGTGCACTGGCCCGGACTGGTGTCATTGGATCGATGCCAGTAATCCAGGGCCGCACTACGCATATTTAACGTTTTAAAAAGAATTTTAACAAAATATTGATTATGAATATTCGGATTGTATTCGGTACCTGGCATTTTTTAACTAGGTAAGAGCTGTTGTCGATTTCATTTAAACGGGTCGTTTAATATACATATATTAGAAAATAAAGGGATTCTCGAGTTTCCGAAGTGGGTCTCGAGAGTTGCAGTTGGAAATATTTTAGCTATTCTTAATTCAAGGTACTCAAAAACATACCTTAAACATAAACTGCGTAATAAAGTAATTCAAGGTCATTTCACATGTCCTGTACACTGTATCCTGTGTCGATTGTATCAACACAACTCTCACCCCTGTTAGACACCACGGGGGACCGTGACCACCCTAAATTGGCCCACCCCACATTCATCAAAACCGAATGCATTTATTAAATGAAGGTACTATCATATAAAACAATCGCAGCCCCATACAAAAGTTTACTAATCCGGATTCATTTTACTAATTGGACTTCAATCAAATTGGAAGCTACGCATGTGTACCTGTGCAATTTTACATTACCCGCGAGGGAGGCTGAAGAGCATTTCTTGCGCTATCGGTGGCTGTATAATCGAACACACGGTGTGCTTCACCAACTTTTAACGAGTTTTCATCATAATAAAGTCATAAAGTTACTTTACACTTTCAAATACAGTTTTTATATTGGTGTGGCTGCAGATTTTTAATAAACTTTGCACTTCGCAAGGATGATTAGTTTAGCTTTAGTTGAAAGTTTTATTCCATTTTAGAAATAGTTGCGACATTTTTACTTCGCATCGTTCACAAATGAGCAGTTAAGACTGATTTTCCGACATGTGTTTTTTGGTGTTTGCTTACCTCTAAGGCGTCTCTTTCGAAATGCCTAAGCTGTAGCGTGAGTTCGAGTCTTCTTTCACGATCAGACCAGAGCTCTTCAAGAGCTCCCCGAGTGCCTCTAAGTCGTTCCAAGGTCGTCTCTACGGCAGCAGTGCTTGCCGCATCCGAATCGCCCGATGATCTGTAGTCAACAAAACGATAGTAAATAAATAGAAGCAGGTATACACGAATACAAAACTTGTAGGAATTAGATTCAAACGATATTTCAATATCAGTTAACATATTTAATTTTAATTTTGCGGATCCTTGACAACATATTTGTCTTGTTCATATTTGGTCCTTAATTGTGTAGGTATCTTAAAGAGTCTAATCGATCACAGTAACCAATTCTCAGTAACAGTACACATTATAACATGTCTATATAGAATCAATAATTATGTCAATAAGGTAGATAATATGATGTCCAAACAACGTATCTATTTACACTTGACAGCCAAATAGCATTGCATACATTCCAGATTTGAGTGACGTATAGCTAGTACCTACATACTCAATTAGCCGCCGGTAATAACAAGCGCACAACAATATCATTGCACATGTGAACATCTAGATTGTTGACACGACAATATCGCTTGTAATACGACGGATAAGAGTTCATTTCAATGAGCAACTTCCTCTGAAAATTATGTAATCCTTTTATTTCCGAGCGAGGTAAAGAAAAGAGGAACCGCCAAGCGCCAAGCATACGGAAATTAACTTTCAATAAGTTCCTCTGACAATTGGTTTTGATTGAAAGCTGTGCGAAGTCATTCTAAGGCGGTTACTTTTACTGCAAAGTGTTTATTGGATAGCTAAAAACAGTTGGTAAGACATTCGTTTCCATTTCCCTTTATGAATCAGAGTTTAGTACTTGTGCTGGGTCATGGGTACCTACGCCTCGTCGGCGTTTCAAGGTAGGCAACAAAATAAATCAGCTTAGTACCTATTCCAGTTCGGTGGATTAGTTCGTTAAACACCAAGTTATTATTTCTAAGATTTTGTTTAACTTTATATGGAATGCAATAAATGTCATTTTTGCTTAGTTTAAAATCCCTGCACACGACCCAATTTTACGCTCAATTTGACTAGATTGACAATCGAATCGGGTCGTATGAACGGAAATATGAAATACTAGCTTTTACCCGCGGCTTCGCTCGCGTCACAAAAAGATAAAACGTAGCCTATGTGACTACCCATCCCTTCAACTACCTTCAGTTGAAAAATCACGTTAAGTACCTCCGTTTTGCCGTTTAAGACAGGCAAACAAACAAACAGCTGTACGCTTGCGTGGAATTCGGTTATAACGCGCGTTTTAGATTTTCAGTGGGAATGAGAAGTTCTGCCGCGGTAAAACCTTGCTTTTCCAGGACTCAAACTACCTTTATACCAAAATCGATTCAGCCGCGTGAAAGAACAGAAGAAGTTATTTTCGCATTACCACAAATACCTCCTCCCATTTTAATTTAAAAGACTTCTATTTCCTATAAGGGTTATATTTGCAATGCTAAACCAAAACTGAGTAGTAAACTGTATTATACGTTTTATTATCGAAAACCTAACTACTTTAGACATCTACTTAGAAATAAACCACTTCACTAATCTAACCTAACTAATATAGCTACTGTATCAATCAACGTAAACAATGAACAAAGCATCTTAGAACGACGAAAAAAAATTACTATAGTAATTTAAATACTAATATCTACCTAGAAAAAATAACACTCTACTAATCAAACCTACAAAGCGAACAAATAATAATCAACATAAGCGCTAGATGCGTACCCTAAAATATAGTTGATACGGAAGCTCGGAACCTATACTTTCGCCGGTAACGAAACCATAGCGCCATCTAACTCGATCCTAACGCCATCTATCGAGCATTGAAACAACAGCGTACAATATATTAGCTAATTGTTGAGTATTGTTGCCACTATGGTTTCGTGTACCTTTAACAATCTAAAATCTATAAAATACCCAATTCAATGTAAAATGGTAGGAATCAAAATTTAAAACCGATAAAAATACTTAAAAAACAACGTTACCCCGTTGAATATATAATAATAAACACTCAGCGCCATCTATCGCCAAGTAGCGTAACTACTACATAGTCACCAATTTTGTATACCTTTAACAACCTAAAATCTATAAAATACGCAATTTAATGTAAAATGGTTAGAACCAAAATATAAAAGCGAAAAATACTTAAAAAATAGCGTAACTACTACATAGACACCAATTTCATGTACCTTTAACAACCTAAAATCTATAAAATACACAATTCAGTGTAAAATGGTAGGAACCAAAATTTAAAAGCGATAAAAGTACTTTAAAAGCACAATGCTACCCCGTTTTATAAACACTCAGCGCCATCTATCGCCAAGTAGCGTAACTACTACACAACGTTACCACGTTGTGTTTTTTAAGTATTTTTACATAAAAAATAGCAAATAAATGAGTCGAAAAGCGCACTGAATAAGTGTAGATTAACACCAAATAAGCGCTATAGATTAAAACGTGAAATTTCCAATTAGTAGGCAATTCGTTGAATTGTTTTAGATGGCACAAAGCGCCATCTACAGGAATACACACAGCGCCATCTATACTAATATTTTTGTTTTCCCTCGGGAATATCACATTTTTCCGGGATAAAAAGTACCCTATTATTTAATCTGGACTTCTAACTTTACGTCTGCAAAATTTCAAAGCAATCGGTGTAGTAGTTACGGCGTGAAGGTGGAACAAACAAACAAACAAACAAACTCACTTTCAGATTTATAATATTAGTAAGGATAAGGTCATCGGGTAGTTGATATTTCATCCACGTCGGTCATTTTGGGATGCCTTATCATAACGTTTTTAATCCTCATTTGTAGTTAGAACCAAGATCAATCCAAATTATTGCTTTTTGGTAAGAGATATATTGATATAAACAAGCCTGCCCTGCAGAGGCAGCAAAAGAAAATTAAAATTGGCGATTTAATTGTATACCTATCGATGGACGATCAGACTGTGCCCAATTCCATCGGCAAGCAAATTGGCAATCAAATGGTGTCACGTGGAAGGGGTTTAAGCTGTATTCTAGACACATACATCAGATTTTAGTCAACAGCACATGTAATCCAGAGTGCCAAACTGTACTACATTCACCGAACATTTTTTTTCTCGGAAGTCCTGGTCAAAGACGCTAGACCAGATAAAGCTAATTTAATTTCCACTGCAAGCTGTCAATTTCTATTAGCATTCAGACCAACTACATATGTGTACCAGGATGAAGTAACTTGCAGTATTGCTGCCCCCAAGTCCGGATACACAGGCACTAAGGACTGAGTTCCCCTCATCTCAAATGCTCTCTCAATTTAAGGTCCATTCTAACGACAGAAGCCGATTTAAGTATACATGGTAAGGGTCCTCATATCACTTGAGACGCGAGATAAGATCTCTTGACCAATGGACTATTTTGTAGCCAATGGTCATTCAACTTTGATATGTGATTGCACAATAACAACATAACGTCAGTATTCGAACAGGGAGACACCCACTTTCCAATAAAGTAACAAAGTAAAGTTTGACTCCTACGTTACAGGATGTGAGCTAATTAATGATAGACACTGGCTCGCTATTTCAGACTTCTAGCTAAATGAGAAAATCTATAAATCTAATAATACATTTTATGTCCAGTATGTCCAATCCGAGATTCCTATGTTCATTTGTTGAGTTTGCGACCAACAAAGCAGTCCAATGACTGCTTTATTGTGTCACTGCAGCACAATTACTCAGTGATACAACTTTTTGCACGCCAACCAGTGACAAGAGAAAACTCCCAGTAGATATAGTTTCTGCCAATTAAGAGATTTCCAACACTAAGCCATAAATATTACGAAGACAACAGTAACTCAGAAAAACAATATTTGAAGCGCAATATTAACTTGTCTTAATAAATCATGTTTCTTTAATTAGTAAGTGGTCCGTGTAAAAATATTTTAATCATATCTATATTATTGCCCACAACGCGAGTTAGATTAGCGAAAAGCCTATAACATTTTTTTAAATAATAAAATCTCGGCGATATATAAGTATTAGGATCACTTAAGATTATTACACTATTTCAATAATATAACTCTGCCAAGAGACTCCAAAAATTGCATTCGTTATACAATTGAAAACCCCCAATAGAAATGTAGACATTTAGTGAAAATATTGGCGGAAAGACGAGTCGTTTGATAACTTGTAATTATTTGTACGGAGGTGCAATACTCAACGTTAATTGGTATCGTGTTCACTTCAAATGAACATGTAAATATAAAGGCGATTTCGGAAATTCCTAATGATGTTGCATGCGCCACCAAGTTGCCATTATACTACACACCATTATACCATTAAAACGATGATAATTGCACACGTCTGTGTACAATATGAGATTTATTACTTCTGCAATTATTCCTTTGTACCGCTGCATGGAGAGCGCCGGGATAACTTTTCCTTCCGTTAATTATAGTAGTCAATTAGTACCTATTTTAGAACTTGTAGAGAAGACGCTGAGTTGAACCTGTTTAAGTGTAAACCTTACAAGAGAGACTAATTGGAAATTTGAGTACAGTGTGGAAATAAAGGTCAATGATATCATAGTTATAAATGAAGTAAGAACACAAAGCACCTTCAGACATTGACAAACACTCTGCTTCGTCCACCATAACATTCACGCTCGGTTTCCAGCGGAAGGCAGTTGAAAGTAGAGCCGGTATTATAACACGCACTGACCCATTGCCATAAAAAGAATTTATCATGAAGCAAAGAAAGTGAAATAACCTTGAATTTATAATGATTTGAAAAAAAATAAAAACAAAACAAAATCATACCTCCATCGTAAACATTGCACCGGCGATTTATGCCTGTGAGAGCGCCGATGATATTTGAGCATTTTGCACAAAAATGTTCATTTCACCGGCGCAATCAAATACGATAACGTTAACCGTCGCTAATCGTCGTAGAAATCACTGCACTGACACTGCGAATACTAATTGCCAGCATTTAAATCAACAGTTATATTTTGAGCACGTAAGAAGGTTGTTATGGGTAATAATTACTTGAGCATAGTTATTAAAACCAGACGGTGACCCACAATGCGTGTGCGCCTACTGTTAT